TTCTTCTCGACCTTGTTCTTCGGCACTTCTTTTCGCTTGCGATGTTTTCGTTGAGGGTCACGAACATTGTTTACTACAATGCTCTGGTTGACTGAATGATTCAAACCAAACGAGTTTTCTAATTCTTCTATTAGTTTTTTCATCTCATCTCTTGCGGTTTTGAAAGACTCGTCTGTCTTTGATGCAATGTAGCATAACCTACTTGACGTTGAACGTAGAGCAGCGAACCTTGCCATTTGCATCACTTCTGGAGACACATTCAAATCAACATAGCTGGGTGCAGAAGCCTTCGCATCATTAGTCCACCTACTTTGAATCAAAGTCCCGGGCAAATATGTGTAGTCCAATTGCTTCAAAATGTGAAGTTGATGGCGACACGGAAGTCCAACGGTCTCGAATTTTTTGCAGGAGCAAATTAGAGTTTTCGTACGAGAATCAAACTAATTTCAAATTTCCTATTTTTTCTGCGTACTTTGACAAAATATAATGTTGACATTCATCTGATAAGGACTTAATCTCTGCCTCAATCCGGTACAATGTCTCCCGTATAAGTTCATCTTGGAACACACGAAAAGATTCGCGGGTAAAATCGCAGCGGCATGGCTTTCAAGGTCGACCAGTTTTGTGATCTGGAAGGGCTTCGTATGAGAACTTAAGTAATCCGCTTTCAACTCGTTCATACGCATTCTACTAATTCCATCTTCAATTGCACGAACAACATCTAAATATGTCTTCTTGTGTTTCAGTGCAATAGCTAGTGAAGCATTCATAGACTCGCACCTTTGTGTTGAGCGAATATTGGCAAAGAAATGACTGGTTAGATATGCTTGTGCCCATAAGTGTCGTGTATTTCCCTTCTCAATCACCCATGGATGCTTTTGGACGTTGAATTCTGAAACAATCGAACGCCATTGAATATCAAATTCCTTGGTTGTCCACCAGGAAGCCATGCATTTTGAGAATGCTGCTGTAAACTTTGGGTCACCAATGTTAGCTTGTGCATTGCGAGAAAGATGCCAAGAACATAATCTGTGCTTAGCATAAGGGATAACAGATTTGATAGCCCTCTGCATTGCCCTATCCCCATCGGTTACAACAGAAATAGGTGATTTATTCATCATGGCTTCTAAAAAATTCTGTAGCACCCACTCGAAAGATTGAGACGTTTCGTCAGCGATTATGGCAGTGGCAAACACAATTGTGTTATGGTGATGATTGACACCAACAATAGGCATAATTGGTCGACCATACAAATTATCTTTGTACGTTGTGTCGAACGCAATTACATCACCGAAGCATGTGTAATCCGATCTCGATGTAGAATCCGACCAAATAAGATTATACAATGCCCCCGATTCGTCTACCGAGTATGTCATAAAAAACCCGGGATCATCATGTTTCTTATAATCAAAGTAGGCAATAAGCGCATTCACATCCCCATCGACGATTTCCTTTGCTTTACCTCTTTGAAGTGCATTGTAGAGGTCTTTATGCGTAAATCCAACATTATGATAGCCCCCTGCCTGCTGCGTTAAATAGTTCATTACTTGTGACGTGCCAACACCGACCTCTTTCAATGTCGTTGCCTCATCGATATCAGCCTTACTTACAGCTATATTAGAACGCATAAATGGTGTCATAGCAGATGTGCACAATGCATGATTATATTTCTGATCAGACTTACTTATAACCCACTGATCGTTTGTATTTGTTGCTGTAACTACGACTCTAGCCTTACATCCTGTTCTTGTGACTGGCGTATGAGCACGTTGACGATCAACAGTATTTACTTTTGATACTCGAAACCCTTCTTTGGAACAACAAAATTCTTGTGTCTTCACATTCCCTTCCACGTCAAGCCGTGTTGTTCCCTTACGTGCACTAAACCCATGTTCTCGTGTGAATCCCTTGTAAAAGTGCCAAGCTTGATCACGTGAACAGAAGAGCTGACCAACCAATCTGTCAGATTCATCAACATTATGTACTTCATGGCATTCCTTGGTTGGCTTAACATTGTCTACATCAGTATTATCCATGGCAAAAATTTTGTTGTGCAAGTTCAGTGCTCCAGGAGTTGATGGATATGTAAACAAAGGTTCATTTTGAACATGTTTCTGTCGTGCTGCTTTCAATAGGATGTGGCATTGGTAGTGGTAGTTAAAGGGTGGGTACAACATTAAATTCGCAGTACATATTTAGGTATGTACAATAACTACAAGTATATTATCATTAAATTTAGGTATGTACAATAACTACATATTTAGGTATGTTTGTTAACTACATATTTAGGTATATACATCTTTTGAGTGAGTTTTAAGATATTAATTTAGTAATTATAGGCGTCTAATGATTAATTTTTTACGTTACGGTATATATTATTATTAAATTAAAAATTCTAAATAATATTTTATAAAATATCAAAACAATCAACTAATTTTTTGTGCAAATGAAATTATTAAATCAATATTGTAGGTGGAAAACATGAAACACTGTTAAAAAAATTGAAACATAAATTACATAACTTTTAAAAAAAGTATCGATCCTTTTTATAAAAAGTATGGACACTTTCAATATAATAGGTAAACATATGATGTAATAGGTAGCCCTTATATAATGTAATAGGTATCGTTTATATAATGTAATAGGTAGTGGTTATATTGTAAAGTGTTTATCCTTTTATAAAAGTGTCCATACTTTTTTCACTGTGGAAAACTTAATTTAAGGTTATCTTTTGAGTGAGTTTTAAGATATTAATTTAGTAATTATAGGCGTATAATGATTTATTTTTTACGTTACGATATATATTATTATTAAATTAAAAATTCTAAATATTATTTTATAAAATATCAAAACAATCAAATAATTTTTTGTGCAAATGAAATTATTAAATCAAATAATTCAAATTGAAAATTAAACAACAAATCAATTAAACATTGTTGTGGGTACATTAATTGAACATTGTTATGGGTACATTATTTGGAAAAATAATGTTCCGGACTTTGTTAGAAATAACTCTTTTTCATTGGATTAATTTCGTTGAGATGGGTTATGTATAACAAAACAATCTATCTCGCATGTGAGTACTTTATTCCAACCATGTGACAAGTGTGACAACTCCATCAACTCACAACTCAGCTTTGAACTCAATCAATATTGTCTTTTAGCTTGATGGTTCATAAAGCATGTTACTTGAACAGTATGAATCAATTATGCAATTTCATGTTCAATTTAACACTGCATTTCAAATTCATTTCATATGTAATTGGAGTTTGAATTTAAATTTCAATTTGAGTTTGAATTTCAATATTTATTTCGGCTCCACTATAAATATTAGCCCAAGCCAATATGCATGTTATCATTGATTATTCCTAATTTCCATTGTTTTTTTCCAACGTATAAACGCGAGGGAAATCCCGACCATTTTATTTTTTGGTCAACTTTAAAGCGTCAGAAACGTTTCGGGCGTATGATCTGGGTGGTATACAAGAAATGTAACAAATAGCAACTAAAATCATAAGTTGAGTACCACCCAAATCATAAGTCTGAAATACTTCCGATGCTCATCAAAATCCAAAGCTCATATGGTGCCAAGCAAAAGGAACATTGATATGATATGTTCAGTTGTTATCATGTTGGGATTTTCTCGTTTTTGATTGCTTGGATAGTTGTTCTCTTGCTTCTTCAAGTGTTCTTAAGGTTATCTTTTGAGTGAGTTTTAAGATATTAATTTAGTAATTATAGGCGTCTAATGATTAATTTTTTACGTTACGGTATATATTATTATTAAATTAAAAATTCTAAATAATATTTTATAAAATATCAAAACAATCAACTAATTTTTTGTGCAAATGAAATTATTAAATCAATATTGTAGGTGGAAAACATGAAACACTGTTAAAAAAATTGAAACATAAATTACATAACTTTTAAAAAAGTATCGATCCTTTTTATAAAAAGTATGGACACTTTCAATAATAGGTAAACATATGATGTAATAGGTAGCCCTTATATAATGTAATAGGTATCGTTTATATAATGTAATAGGTAGTGGTTATATTGTAAAGTGTCTATCCTTTTTATAAAAGTGTCCATACTTTTTTCACTGTGGAAAACATTAATTTAAGGTTATCTTTTGAGTGAGTTTTAAGATATTAATTTAGTAATTATAGGCGTCTAATGATTTATTTTTTACGTTACGATATATATTATTATTAAATTAAAAATTCTAAATATTATTTTATAAATATCAAAACAATCAAATAATTTTTTGTGCAAATGAAATTATTAAATTAATATTGTAGGTGGAAAACATGAAACACTGTTAAAGTATCGATCCTTTTTATAAAAAGTATGGACACTTTCAATATAATATAATGTAATAGGTAAATTTGCAATGCTATCGGTATAAATATACCGGTTTACTTATAAAATAGGTAAATATAAGCGCTACCTATTACATTATATAAGCGCTACCTAGTATGTTATTGTACTTTATAATATTTCCGGTTAAATAATATAACATAACCGGTCTAAATTTTAACCGGTCACTTGTTTAACCGGTCACACCGTATATTAACCGTTTTTTAGGCACCGCACCGCAGAACTGCCCCTGAATTGCAGATCAAGAAACTTGGCCTTTAAGCTTGCAGATCAAGAAACTTGGCCTTTAAGCTTTGCGGCGTGGGTTCTTTTCCCCAAACGCAATTCGCCACCAATTGCGCTATGAAATGCCAATTGACCCTCTAAGTTCTCACTGCTTTACAATTCAATCTTTTGATTTTGTCAAACTCTTCGATTAGGTCTTCTACACAGTGGCTCGCATACAAAGTAAATGCTACACGACTTACAGATCGTACTCTCTTTAATCGAGGCACCTTCAAAACCCTCTATAATATCGAGAGACAACTTCTCATGATTAAAATCACATCCACCCAGCTATGAATTAGGAAAATAGTACCATAAGTGTTATCACAAAATAATATTTTGTGAAAAAATAAAATATAAAAACAAAACATTAATAACCCTTACCACCGAAATTAAAATTAAGCTCGTATCTAGCAAAACCAAGAAATTAGCTTTTCTCTTAAACTTGCAATATTGATCTCTCCATCCAACATTTTCTTCATCTGTTGAAATTTCCAAATAAAGATAAAACATATTATGTTATGAGCATGCATGTATGTATATATATGCTTGTATATGTGTGTGTATGTATGTATGTATGTACCTTTATATGTAAATGGTAGCAGTGTCCACGATCAGAAATTTGAAGAGTCGAGGCACTCATAATAGACATGCCTTGTTCTTCACCTTCTACGTTCTGTAGTAGGTTCGAAAAAGCACCATTTTCATGTCCTGGGGTGAATATTTGTACGATAAACTCACCTTGTTGGATTTCATGCACCGAAACTGACGATGGATCTAGATGAAGTTGCAAATGATTGACAGCTGCAGATTGCTTATGTTTAACTGCAGATAACATGTCATTCTTCCTCAAAGTTAACTTCTCGATTTCTTTCTCCAGTTCTGGTATGTATTCAACTGCTCTATCAAGTATAAGACGCGAACTGTTTCTTTTCTGCAACATCATTCATATGAACAACCCTAAGAATAATTTCTGATTGTAATCTGGGAAGTTTGTAATATATATATATATATATATATATATATATATATATATATATATATATATATATATGATGGAACAAGTTCTTTTGGACGGTTCATCCCTTTTAATTTAGGTAGAGAATCATGACCGGTAAAAAAATGATAGTTGACAGGTATTTTTATGTGAAAGAGAAATTATCATAAGGAAAAGGATAAAGACAAGAGGTAGGATAAGGTTTTGATGGGGTATGTAGAGTCACTTTTGGTACGTATGTCAATCCTAGGATCATTATGACTACGGGTTAGACAAATGATCATTAGATTTTAGACTACATTTGGATAAGTTATGTGGATCTGTCAGAATTATTCTCTATTTATCGTAGTTGATTAAGAAGTTTGTATCCAGGGATGTAGGCTTCTTAGAGATTCTGGTAGGTGGAGGGACATGTTCAAGGATGAATGTATAATTTTATTTTAAAGGAAGCGAACTTCTAAAATTTTAGTGAAGACGAAGTTAATTATAAAACTCTAGGAGAGAAAATAAATTATAAGACAAAACCTAAAATATATGATAATTTAAAATTTTCATAAGTAACGAGTGCGAGGTATGTCTGAAATTTTGCCTGACGAAGTATTGCTTCAACAAATCCGACCTGACAAAGGTTTGGAGGTTCCGGAGTTTACATCCGAAGGTATAACAATATATATATATATATATATATATTATACAACAAACCTTTGATATGCTGGAATCTGTAGGAAGCAAAGCTCCAAGAGCCAAGTATGCTGCATGCTGTTTCCTCCTTCGAATCCTCTCTTTGGCGTTATGTTCTTCTTTCTTCATTGTTGTTTCTCCTCCATTAACTTGAGCATCCCTTGTTTCTTCACACATTGTAGGAAGCTGTCGATTGTTACTTTCATGCGGAAGTAAATCTATGTCGTCTGAATCTTCAGGAGGTGCAGACAAACTGTCATCAATGGAGTGATCAAGTATGCTTTCCATCAATCCCTCCTCGATGCTCGGATCAACTGGTTCTAAAATCAACTTGCTTGAATCAAGTTCATAGATTCTTGCATGTTCTTCTATCAATACCTTGCCAACGGTGTGATCCAGTGGTAGTACTGCAGAAATCTGTTGATGATCATCATCATGATCAACAGCCAAAATGGGGTCCATAGCTTGGGATGATGAGCATCGATGATCATCTATATGAATAGAAGCTAAGAAATCACCAGTATCTTCGTCGTCGTCCTGTATGAGCGGCCATAAATCATCCGTCGTTCCAGGAATTGTGAACAAATTTTCGAGATGTGGTGGAGAAGAAGACATGCAAAGATTGCTTGGAATATATCAAAAGAAATGGCTTGCTAAATTCCTGGCTAATTCATACACAAAAACAGAAAGATTAAACTTCAAAGCATGCAAACATCTTGTCAACTGGTAAAAGGATGCGAGATCTTAGGACTAGTTGAATTAAGTAAACCCTAAATGCATGAGAACATTAACAATCTCATGAAATGGCAAAACAATATCCAATTAATCCAACACTACTGCATGACTTCCAATTTGGAAACTTTAGTTTACATAATTACATACAAAGGAAGCAAAAAGAAAGAAAGAACAGTGCAAAAATGTTTCAAAACCTTACCCAGATTATGAAGGAAGATGAACATCCTCAAAAAAGAAAGGAAAAGAAAAAGTAAAACCTCCATCTGTAAAGAAAGAAGACTATATTTATATATATATATATAATGAAATTTTATAAGAATATAATTGTCATGGTGATGCTACTTGTCGAAACTGTATAAAGTCAAATAGTTAGCACTTAATATATATCATTTTATAAAGTTTAAAAATGATTAACTTAAAGAGCTATGGGGAGATCTAAAGAGAGATGAAACTGTGACATGACATCCCTCATCAACTCACCATTGCATAGATTAATGGTTATATGAGGAGAAAACAAGGCATAGATGTGCAAGAATCATTAGGTATCTCTGAGAAAACCCAGAAGAATAAACGAACTTCATGGATGAAATGCTGATTTCCATAATATATCTACACAATATCAACTAGAAAAGAGTGGAAGAAAATTACATAAACAATAAGCAGAAGATAGGGCTTTTGTTTTCTTTCTCAAGGAAGATGAACACAGTTCTTTTTTTTGGGGGGGGGTGTAAAGAGGGCACAGACGCCATGAAATAGCTGAACACTTAGAAAATAGATATCTTACACTACTTCCCTGGGAAACATGAATAAGAAGATAAATCCAAGCTAGGCAAGCACGGTTAATGGCCCTTTCATAGAGATGCATATGATGAAAATGCGAGCTAAACATCATTTTAATTCACTAATTTGGATCAAACCAAAGGAAAAACAGAGAAAGAAGGAGAGAGGAAAATGAGGGAGTAATTGTGTGTAGTACTATTGACGATAATGGGAAGATGAATATGCTTGTACTTGATGAATGCTAGTACTGTCATTGGGTATATAAATTTGTACTATACTAAAACACATTAACATTATTAATTAGTTTTTGCTAGCACTATCTACTACCCACATATTTTAATTGGTTTACTATTTTCGGTGCATGATTTATTTATTTACTATTAATATATATATTTGCATAATTAAAATATGGATTTTAAAATTTGTTGAAGACCTCCTATATTTGTAATAGCTTATCAGAATTATTCTAACTTGTTCTTATTTTCAAAAACATATTTTATTTAGTATTTAGTCATTTAATATATATTTTCTTTTATTAAATTTAAAAATATAAACGACTTCGTATATTTTAATATTTACATTCTCAAACAATGATTAGTGTTAGGATGAACTACAAGTTTAATACCTATTATTATGATTAAGTAATATTAAATTTTATTATTAAGATGGTTCTCTAAATTTAAATCATTAATATTATATCAGTCATTAACCCCAAATCATATACAGTCGTAATTCTCTTATTATCTCTTTCTTCGCTTAGTAAAAATTTTCGTTTTTCTATTTGTGATTCTTTCGTTAGAATTGTTCACATAAATCTTGATATATTATTTTCTTTCTCTTTGTCATTATTAATATCGAATATTACAAATGGTATCGGAGCATCTGATTGCTCACCTTAATCATGATAATGGAGGAATTTAAGTATGATATTTTGATATTGAATCGCAACACTGTATTTACATTATGACAAGTAAAGAAGAAAGCAGTTCCTATGCAGATGAATTTGAATTATATCTTGTTTTACCTCCGATATTGTGTACTGGGAAAAATAGAACAAGAAGTCAAGAATCGTGAGGTCTTATCACAATTACATATGAATTCATTAAGTGGTTTTTTTATAAAAAATAAATTAAGTCTCAAACTTTTTAAAAAATCAATTTTTTACCACATTATCGTTAACATGTAGATTACCACATCAACAGCGATAACCTCTACTTTAGCATTGTGAACTGTCATATCAACACCGATAACATCCACGTTAACATTGTGAACTGTCATATCAACTCATAACAATCAATGATAACTTTTATCGATGAAAATTTCATATTGATAAGTTTTTGGACTTAAAGAATTAATTGAATTAATGTAAAAAAAATTAAAAAAAATAATTATTTTTAATTTTGAGACTTATCACGTCTTTAAACTTTTTTTTTTTAATTTTAGGAGTAATGTTTAAATATCATCACATACCCTTGTACATGCGTAGTATAAGATTTAATTACACATATTTAAGATTGTTGCATGAATGAAATTAGATGATTGAAATTAATAATATAAAAATTATTCACTAAAAAGAAAAAAGGGGCTAATTTTAACCATTTAATTTGACTCATATAGCAATCCTAAATATATATCTTAAGCAAGGTCAGAGGTTCGAATCTTGTCGTTTGCGAATGGAACAAATTGGGTTAGGAGGGTCACACTAACTTCTGCAGTAATCGATATGGATTAGTCGATCAATAGATAGTATATCAGTAATTAATTAAAAAATCATATTGTTATATATATTTACAACATTATATATATATATATATATGCAATTATATGCCGCATATTGCGCACCACATAATATAATATAATGGGCAAAACTTTTGAAATAATGTTCTCGAATAAATTAATTCACGAGACAATGTACTCTTCAGATTAATTGTTCAAATAGGGTGAAATCTACAGTGTTGGCCGTAGGTCGTCATTTCTTCCCTGCGAGCTACGAGAGATTTTGCATGTGCTGCACGTCCCAACACACTGGGCATCCGAGGCCATCCGAGCGAGCTATGAGAGAGCATCCGAGGCCATCCGACCGAGGGCATCCGAGCGCATCCGAGGGGGTAGGTTACCATATATGCTGGGCTAAGTAACAAATATTACCTACCTCGGTAATTAGGCTTTCATAAGATTACCTAAATTTCTCTAAGTAACAACGATTACATATATCGGTAATTATGATTTTTAACTACTCTGAAATGGAGATCGCCATGTATGCCTGGCGATCTTATAATTCGCCATGTGATTCCGGTGACCAAACTGGCGAGATACCTAATTATCGATATAGGTAATGAAGCAGCTCACCACAACTTGCAGGGACGGCATGACGACCTCCTTGATCGCGAGCTTCTGACGACATATGTTCGAACTTTAAGTTTCATCATATTTCAACAAATAATTTCAATTAAATTTTATTTTAACAATTAATTTTTTTCAAACTTCAACAGTAGCAAATCACCCTAATATAATGGTAGGTGTCGGTCTGAACTTAAGACACTGTTTATTATTTGGAATTAATGGTTGTGAGTTGGATAGCCGTTTGATTAGACTTTCTCACTTTTCAGCAACCTCTCAGAATTTCCAGTTTAATAATTTATTTTTGCTTCAATTATAAAATCATGTGGCCAATACAAAATGTAGTATGTTCGCAGGATGACAAACGAGTATAATTTTGTAGATTCTGTATTGTATTAACTTTAATTGAGGTGGAGATAGATATAATTTTAGTGGGTAGTAAGCGGGTGTGGATTTAGAAAGTAATATCCGTCGCGGATAATGGGCGGGTGATGAGTTTGAGACCTTACTCACCCTGCATCCACTCGCCCACTAAATACCTATTAAATTTTGGACCATTATAAATTTAGGTATTAATTTTAGGGTTTGTCATTTATGTGTGTCAAATAACAAAACTATTATGTGTTTGTCATTTATGTTTCTAGGCATTAATTATATATTTTATTATGGTGTTTTATGTACTTTAAGATCTATGTTAACACTTAACTCGGATAATCCTTGGTTTATTTTATTATGTTTCTTAATGGACGTGTTTGTTTTATGTTTGTTGTTTATGTATAACTTAAGGTTACTGTTAGACGGGTCTAGTCGGATACGTCTCCAGTTAGTGTAGGGATGAATTTGAGAATGTAACCGCGTGGGCGGGTGTTGATTTGAAAAATTTTATCTATCATGGGTGGTGGACGGGTGGTGAATTTAAAAATATTAAATGAGTATGAGAATAGAGGAGAGGTATTCACACCTGACCCGCCCGTTTACCATCCATATACCTTCATATGCATTATCAGTCCAAGATTTATTTTTACTTTTTGCAAAAAAATAATTTTCTATTTGTTCATAAAAAGAAAATAAATTGTCCAAAATAAAACATAGGATCAGATATGATTCAAAATATAGTTTCAATGAAAAAATGTTAAATAGCTAAGCGTTTGTTTGTTTCTTAGTCACATCATAACACTTTAATGAATTAAGTAATTTAAAAAAATTAAATTTTTTATTATTTTCAAATACATAATTTGCTTTTTAATAGCCTATAATGATTATTAAATAATATTTATTTAAAATTTTTCTTAGTCGTTAATAACGTATATTGACATATACATCATTCACAGACGAAGTTGATTGTACTCAGGACTTCTGAAGAGAACACTTTCTTCTAGTGGCGGATCCACATGTGTGTCAATCATAAAATTCGAATTTTCTTCGATTAATTGTTTATTTTATTGATGATGACTCCTCTAAAATTTATATGTATCCATCTCATTCAAAAATTTTATATTATTAGTTTGATATAGGGTATGTCACTGTTTCTTTTAATCACTTAAGATGCATGATAGATTCAAATACATAATTTGTTTAAGATTGAATCATTATCTCAAATTATACAAGATATATGTAGGACGCTAATTTTAAATTTATCTTTAAATTTTAAACATTATAATTAAATCTTTAAATTATCAATATAGTATCAATCAAATTTTATTACATATAAATTTAGACCTGAGATTTTCATAATACATAATAGTCCTCCTAGATTTTGTTTATCAGTACGGTCCAAACTATTTAAACAATAGACACATGCATGTTTATAATTTGATTCATATATATTAAATATATTTATATCGATAAAAGAGATTAATTGATATAATATTAATATTTTAAATGTTAAAATTTTATTCGCAACTACTAGAATATTATAATTCCTGAAGTAATGTTTAAATATTGTTACATGTTTTAAACTTTAAATCTTAAATTCTAAATCTCAACATCCTATAATCCTTTATCTTTAAACCTTAAATCCTAAGTCTAAAATTAAAATCCTAATCCTTTAATGACACATGTCATCCATTTAACCCTATTTGTGAAGTTTTTTCTTTTAACTCCACTGGTAATATACAAAATAATTTTTTACATTTTAAATGCTGAATTAGAATATTTTAAAATTTAGGGACCGGTTTAAAATTTAATAGATAGTTCTAGAACCTTTAGTTGAATTAGTCCTTATTTTATTTATAGGACCCCAACTACTCTTTCCCATAGCCACAATAATAATAATAACATTAACTCTCTTACTAGTACCACTACTTTCGGTTATGGACTTGTGGGCTTGCCTTTTTATCCCATCTTCCCCTTCACTTCTCCTATAAATTCAGTGTCCCCCCTTGCTAAAACCACTCAACCTTGTCGTGGGAAAAATGGACATGAACATCTCCCCAGAAGCATTGAAGCCGTACTCGACCGCCACGAGGCCGACGGTCAACGGAGTTCAGCGGCAAAAGGAGAGCGATGAAACTCTAGATGATGATACGTCTTTGAGTTTGAGTAGCTTGTCAAAGATCATACTTCCTCCTTTGGGTACTTCAAGCTATAGCCATGACAACCATATAAATTCCTGATGGATCATCTCTCCAATGGATTCAAGATACAGGTATGTATACATATATGCACATAAGATAGGAGTGGACACGCCGTAAGATTTTATATCGAGATAAAAATAAACTATCAATAAAAATATAAAAGAATACTTCTATTATATAAAAATTTAAAATTTTCAGATATAATCGTCCTCATTAACTCTCAGTCTGTTTGTATACACATGTCAATGATATAATGTTTTCTTGAATTTTTGACAGATGGTTTGCTGTATATAAAATTAATATCGCATTTGTCATTATTTAGACCATTAATACTATCTGACTGAGTTGATTTTTTCATAGTTTCCTGAGTTCCCTGGTCTTCTTTTCCCTTGTAATATGCCTATTTCCTAATTACAGTTGAGCCAATAGGCATGGCAGTCGAATTCAGTACTAAATTATGATAAAAATAATGATTAAAATGTTATGATATTGAAAAAATAAAAATATGACGTAAATATATAATGTTTTTAATTTAAAGTTCTATAGTGCGGTACCCTTAATATACAACTAAAAAAATACGTTATCGGTTTTATTATTATTTAAATAATAAAACCGATAAAAATTACCTAAAACATTATTATTTTTACCCAAAACATCAATTTTTTAACATTTCTGATACAGTGTCCAATAATAACAAAACCGGTAAAAAAATGATAGAAATAATAATGTTTCCGATAATTTTTTATCGATTTTATTATTTAAATAATAACAAAACTAGTAACACTTTTTTTAATCGTATATTAAAACTACTGCACATGATCATTTACCCAATTCCCGTAGAACTTTTGATGTAGATTCGTGTTTTACTTAACATGTAGATACCCCACACCAACCCAGATAAAAATTGTTATCACTTATACGTACGATGATACTAATAAAGTTTTCGCCAATATAATAAAAAAAGGAGTAAATTCAGTTTGTCATCAATAAATTTTAAAAGAATCCAACATTTTTGTTCAAATTTATTTTTCAGACTTTATGTTGTTATTTAAATCCTTCTAAATTTGGAACAAAACTTGGAAGTATTGATAAATAATCTGATTTGAAATCCAATAAGTCAATATCTTTTTTCTTATTATGAATTCAAATTAATAAGTAGGTTTGTACGAACCAATCGATTTCAGTAATTAAAAGGATGATTATCATTTTTTAATGAGATCCTGAGTTCGAATACAATGTTTATAAAAATATTTGAATCTTTTGAATAAATATTATCTTGTATTCATCAGATATTAATAAATTAAGGAGTGGGTTCTTTGTGAAATGGACAACTCGGGCGGTGGGAAGCATTTATGGTGGTGTTGGTATTTTATTCGGCATTCGTTTACCCTTTCGAAATAGCGTGTTTCAATCCGGCTCCGCCTACGGCACTCTACGTTGCCGACAGCGTCGTGGATTGTTTCTTCGGTGTTGACATCGGGTTGACGTTCTTCGTTGCATACATCGATTCAACAACTCAGCTGCTTGTCCGTGACCGCAAAAGGATTGCCAACAGGTTACTTCATCTACCCCAAAAAAGAAAAAGAAAAAAGGAATTACAAATTATTTATTGTAGAAGAATGGTATGTGGGTCGGTACCCGGAATCAGCTTTGCACCAAAGTTCCATTTCTTCATGATTGCTCCAACTAAAATGGTTCGATTAAACAAAAAAGTATAATGATAAAAAAAACCTCATTTATTTTAGTTCTTATTTTTTTTCGAAACATTTTAACTCTCAATATTTCATTTCCGAATAAATTATCTTTATAAATCAACTAATAGTTAACGCATCCAACTGACTGTATATATATTAATGTGGATAAAAATGTTGACGTGATATATCCACGTGAACTAGAAAAATGACATTATAAGTTGCCACGTAAGTATATTTGTTTATATGTATCTATTTAGTTAGCAAGATATATTGATTATTAGTTGATTAATCGTTTTATTTACATTTAGGGTCAAAATGAAATGTTGAAGTACCCCCAATGAAAAAAGATAAGATAAAAGTGACTTTTATAAAACTTTGGGGTTTTTTGTCTAAATTTTTTTTAAAAAAAATCGATTTTACGGTAAATCAAGTACCGGTATGTCCATGTTTTAGATTCGACGTATTAATAAAGATAGAAAAGAAAATGATGAATTGGTTGTTGGGGTTTAGGTACCTTTTAACATGGTTCATAATGGATTTGGCATCAACAATCCCATTTGAGGTACTTGTCCATTTGTTCTTTGCAAAAGGCAAATTAGGAATATCGTATTCCTGTGTAGAATTGCTCATATTTTGGCGTCTCAGGCGGGTCAAGCTGTTTTTCACCAGGTCTTTGTTTCTCAATAATCTAAACCTTCATTATTCTCTGTTTAACATCAAATTCACTTTTTCTTTGTTTGTAGGCTGGAGAAAGACATTTCGAGTCAGCTATTTCTGGATCCGATGTGCTCGCC